AGAGAGAGAGAGAGAGAGAGAGAGAGCTGTTGCACTCTAGAGAGCATGCTCTACTCCAGAGCGTATCAAATAGTGGTAATGCGCAGAAGATAGAAGAAGGTTACTTGGTTACTAGAGCGCAGACGCTGCTAAAAGCATCGGGGATACCACCCGATCCCAGTACGATATCGAAGTACCGGACAAAGCTTGCTCGTCCGCATTGCCGCATTCATCTATCAGCGTGTCAGGTCTAGTCGGCGAACAATTTAGAGAACGTAAGTAGCAATTCGCAGATCAATTTGCGTTTTTTTGACATATACACATCCATATATATACGCGTATACGCATACTAAAGCTCATCTATAGCTCGATAGCTTGCGGATTTTTCAAAATATAGTATGGCCGGAAGAATACATACGTATAGCTTTCCGGAACTGTCCGAACTGTTGGAATATCGGAATAGTGTACGAGCGTGTACATAAATATGAATGAACGTAAAATATTGACGAGAGAATTGCAATTAAGTGTGGTAACGCATTCTTTGTTTGTCTTTAAATATAATTTATACAAGACGACTAATATTAAATGTAGACTTTTTTTCCCACAAGCTAAATTAAATTCTCAAATTTTACTTTTATTTTTGTTTAAATTTCAATTTTTATTAAATAATGGTTTTAACATTTGCGTTAGAAATGAGTAATGTAATAAAGAGAGACCATTTGGTAAATACTATATTTGATAATATAATATAGAGAAAAAATTGAAAAAATTTGATTTTTTAACTGGTCTTCTCTTCTTCTCTTCTCAAAACATAATATCTTTAATTATTTATTGCATTTTATCATTTTAAAGGGATTTTCATATCTTTTTTTATTCATATAATCAACATTTACGCAGCTTTACAAGTTAAACATATTTGCACATTAAATATCAACCGGATAATTAAATAATTCATCATAAAATAAAGCTTCCGACTCAGTTTAGTTCGCTTTACCTGCTCACGAGGGCAATTACTACTTTGTATAGGGTAACTCCGGTATATACGCCGCATCTATCAAAAACTTAATTTAATACGTATTATTTACTACGTTTAAAGTAAATGAACTATATCAGTAAAAACTTTGTACTGTCTACTACTATAAAAAAAATATTAGAAATCCGAAATATATATATTTATTTTTCGTATTAAGAAATGAACTTTTTGAAACCCTTGCATTTTTACCGTATATCCTATAGGGATGGGATATATGGCTACTCATAGGGGAAAGGGAGGTATATACGGCTCATGAAAAATTTACAAATAATGCTTATAAATAGGACATAAAATGACACAATAACCTATAAAATGCGTTTATAAAGTTTTATTAAGGAATAAGAATGATAAATACGTATATGAAGTAATAAATAATAATTACAATCTTCCTACATATATTACAAGTGTTATGACATGAGGTACATATTTCATGTAATATATTTACTGCATTTAGTGCACTGAATTCAATCTGCGCACTTTGTATGCTTTGGGCATAAATCCCGTCCGCTAAAAATGCCATATATCCCAAATAGGTGGGATATACAAGACAACAAACTAAAAAAAGAATATGAAAGCAAAGCACTTGTATTTTGCTATAAAACATGCTTTACTATTCCTCTACACGTATGTATCACGAAATAACCACTAAGTCTTTTACACGCCCTACAGTAATCATTTTATGTAGATTATAACTTATGATGCTACTTATTGCAGTGACAAATCGATTCAATTCACAATAATTTCATTAATATTAACAGTAAGAAGCTGAAATCATAACACAATACTAATATAATATAAAGGCATGTAACAGAGTAGTTGCGGGAAAATTCCCCACTCCTTCTATTTTTTTTTACTTCTGCGGCGTAAATCCCAGCGCGGCGTATTTGCCAGAGTTATCCTATATGCATATGCATAAAATTTTTTAAAACAGAATTTTCAAGAGATTAAAAAATCCTGGAGTTCTCTACAAGTTAAGTAAATTATATTGATCCGTAGAGCATCGTTTTAATAAATGATAGATGTTACCAATTTACGATCGTACAATCGGTCGTGGAAACGCGATTTGAAGCGTATTATGACATTCACGTTGTAAATCGTGGAATAATTTGAAAACGAGAAAAATGTAAATCTGTGGAACAACGAGGGCGTTCTCTCGTAAAGTGAAATGCATTCCCTAAGGCTAATCGAAATAAAAGTTGGCCAGAATATATTGTGCTCGCGGGCTCGCAAGGTTTATGAGGTAATCAACACATAATTTGTTTGGAAATTTAAACTTAATTTCATGACATTACATTAAATTTAATGTATTTATAACTGAAAAATATATTTGTGTACATTTATATGAAATTTAATATTTAGTATTTTTCATGAAAATTTATGAAATTTAATGTATTTTTCGTAAAATTTTATGAAAAGTATATATATATCAAATTTAACAAAAATTTAATGTACACGTTTATTACATTTAAATAACTACTGTAACTTAATTTTCAGTTAAATCATGCATTACTTTTAATTTTATTCATAACCATGAGTTTCATTTACATGTAAAGGAAGCTCGTGATTACATTGCTAACAGCGTACATGCAACGTTGAATGTATCATTTCCCGTAGATTTTTCATCGCTGAATCCGAATCTGGTAATAAAATTTTTGTAACACATGTTATTCAGGATCATGTCCGGGATAACATTCAAGAGATTTTAACCGTCAATCGGGCACATTGCGTAATGCTAATGCCGACGGTATGTAACTTTCAAGCGTTATAATTCAAAAAGTACTTAATGAAAAATAACTTTGTTTTGAAAAGCTCTTGGTACCAGCTATTAAATTCTGGCATCAAAAATATGGTGTTCCAATGGTGTTAAAAAATACTGTTTAAAAAAATCGATTTGACACTTTGACCTGACCTTAACGATGCTACCCAAGGTCAAATCAATGGTACCTTCTTATGTCCCTCTCCGAAACATACGACTTTTGTGTTTGAAACATTTTTCCATATCTACCATTTTTAAGACTTGAAAGTTTTCGAGAAATCTTAATACATTATTTAAAATGGGACACTCTGTATAGGGTAACTCCGGCAAATACGCCGCGCTGGGATTTACGCCGCAGAAGTCAGAAAAAATAGAAGGAGTGGGGGTAATTTTCCCGTAACTACTCTGTTACATGCCTTTATGTTATATTAGTATTGTGTTATGATTTCAGCTTCTTACTGTTAATATTAATGAAATTATTGTGAGTTGAATCGATTTGTCACTGCAATAAGTAGCACCATCATAAGTTATAATCTACATAAAATGATCTACATAAAATGATAATGTAGGACGTGTAAAAGTTAGTGGTTATTTCGTGATACATACGTGTAGTGGAATAGTAAAGCATGTTTGTATTATTAAGCATGTTTGCATTATTTGTAAATTTTTCATTAGCCGTACATACCTCTTTTCCCCCTATGAATAGCCATATATCCCACCCCTACGAAATATGCGGCAAAAATACAAGGTTTCAAAAAGTTTATTTTTTAATATGAAAAATAAATATTTTGGATTTCTAATATTTTTTTCATAGTAGTAGATAGTACAAAGTTTTTACTGATATAGTTCGTTTACTATAAACATAGTAAATAATATTTAATAAATTAAGTTTTTGATAGGTGCGGCGTATATACCCTATATGTCTAAATTTACATATAGGATGTTTCGTTTTAATTGATGCCCTAAAATATCTTTTGCACAGTGCATTTTAGAGAAAAATGTTTCGGACAAAAGTTGTATAGTTTGAAGGGGAACATAAAAAGCCATTGATGGCACGAACAAAAAATAGTTCTGCATTATGGATAAACTATTCTATTTTACACAACGTTTCAGAATTTTCTAAATTTCCGGGTTGTCTAACTACCCTTATAAATAGTATCAACAATAAGTTTTTACTCGCTTATATTAATCGAATATGTTAGTGTCATATGATAGGTTTCCTGTCGCCTTATAGTAATTATTATAATGCAATAAAAAATTTTAATTACTATAATATTTATTAAAATAATTTTTATTAATATGGCTCGATCTGAATAAAACAATAAATAAATGAAAAAAGGCTACGAGCCAGTTATAATGTAAAAAATGTCATATTCGCAACAAACGTTTCGACTCCGATCGGGTCATTTTCAATGTGAACAATCAAATTACATAGAATCTTTGAATATTCGGTATAATTAAACATCGATCACTTCACTATTTTCTATTATCGTGCGGTCCTTATACACATTAGAATCACTAGGCTGATGTAACAGTGATCTCATCTCATTACTTATCTATAATCTTAATGAATAAACTAACATGCCTTTACAGAATAAATTATCAAACATATAAACTATATGTTACATTAATTTAGTACCAATTTGCGTACGTATATATACCTTTATTTGTCATGGTGATATACGACAGTCGTAGAGATAGAAAAACTTAAATTGACCAAGTTTATGCAATAAAAATAAGCCATGATACCTTGGAGAAGCATCCTCGACTATGTCAGGCGACGTTATGGTGAACGGAAAACAAGAAAACAAAGAATTGGAAAGGTGGCAGAGGACGCAGTTAGGAAGGATATGTTATCAGAAAATAACACATATGAAATTATTAATAAGGGTCCGACCAAGAAGGTCACCAGACTTACGCTCCTTGCTTGTCAGATGGAAAAGTAAAAAGTTTATTGACGACTCCACATACCGAAGATTACTCATGACTGATGGTATTATTCCTAGAGCGTACGGATTAACTAAGATCCATAAACAGGGAAATCCGCTAAGAATTATTATCTCATCAATTAATAGTCCACTATACAATTTTTCGCTATATCTGCATATAATATTATTAATGTGATTCCATATTGGAAGCTCCTAGCTACATCAAAAATAGTTTCCAACTTATCGAAAAATTGAAAGATGTTTGTATTGAGCTTGATCATTCGTTTGTCTCATTGGATGTCATTTCTTTATTTACTAATGTTCCTATAGAATTGGTGTCCGATGGTATTATAAAAAGATGGGATTATATATCTAAAAAAACTATTATACCGTTAAATGAGTTTTTAATTGCTGTTCGTTTGGTTTTGAATTCGACGTTTTTTATATTTAATAATTATTTTTACAAACAAATTTTTGGTACTCCGATGGGGTCACCTTTATCCTCAATTGCTGCGGACATTGTTATGCAGGACCTCGAAAGAACAGCAATAGAAAGATTACCTGTTAAGCTCTTTTATTTTCGTTTTATTTTCGGTATGTGGATAATATTATCTTAGCTGCTCCATCAGAGAATATTAATGACATTTTAGAAATCTTTAATTCATTACATAATAGATTACAATTCACTGTGGAGGTTTGCAAAAATGGAAAATTAAGTTTCTTAGATACTTTGTTGATTGTGGAAGAATAATTTCTCGTTTTTGATATATATCGTAAGGCGATGTTTTCTGGCAGATTTTTTAATTTCAATTCACATCATCCGCTTTGTCACAAGAGAGGTGTAATATACGGGTTTATCGATAAAATTATACGGCTGTGTCATCCTCGTTTCCAGCAAAATAATTTAATTAATGCAATAAATATATTTTTAAATAATGGTTATCCACTAGAATTTATTTTTTCTTCAATACAAAAAAGAATAAAGTTCCACACTAATTCAAAAAATGAAATTGCTGAGAAAAAGATCAAAGAAAAATATTTTACAATACCTTATGTGAATTCGGTAAAGTTTACTGCAGTTGCCAATAGGTTTCATTGTAAGTTGGCTTTCTCGATACCGAACTCGTTAAAAAATTTTATCAGAAAGGGTAAAGACCAGTTGGATCCCTTATGCAATCAAAATGTTGTTTATAAGATCTCTTGTGATGATTACGATGCTAGTTACGTAGATCAGACAAAAAGACAGCTAAAGACAAGGTTACACGAACATATCTCTGATATTAATAAGAGGTCAAAATCTCCAACGGTGATTACAAATCACCGCATTGACCATAATCATAATTTCGACTGGGATAATGTCGAAATTTTAGATAAAGAAGCTTCTATAAAAAGAGACTAACATCGGAGATGATTCACATCAAAAGATAAAAGCACGGGATAAATAAACATAATGACATGGATTCTCTGCCAGAATCATATCTAAACTTATTATATAAATTATTCAATCTCTTTCCTCTTCCTAACTGCGTCCTTTGCCATCTTTCCAATTCTTTGTTTCCTTGTTTTCCGTTCACCATAACGTCGCCTGACATCGAGGATGCTTCTCCAAGATATCATGGCTTATTTTTATTGGATAAACTTGATCAATTTAAGTTTTTCTATCTCTGCGACTGTCGCACATCACCATGACAAATAAATGTATATATACGTACGCAAATTGGTACTAAATTAATGTAACATATAGTTTATACATTTGATAATTTATTCTGTAAAGGCATGTTAGTTTATTCATTAAGATTATAGATAAGTAATGAGATCACATCAGTCTAGTGATTCTAATGTGTATAAGAACCGCACGATAATAGAAAATAGTGAAGTGATCGATGTTTAATTATATCGAATATTCAAAGATTCTATGTAATTTGATTGTTCACATTGAAAATGACCCGATCGGAGTCGAAATGTTTGTTGCGAATATGACATTTTTTACATTATAACTGGCCCGTAGCCCTTTTTCGTTTATTTATTGTTTTATAATATTTATCATACATACCAATGTTTTTATTGCAATATGAATTTATTGAAATATAATTCAACATGTCATAATAAACTTGTGCAGATAAGAAAAATGAGAAGAGATAATTTCTTTACTTCATTTCCGATTCTTTTCGCAGATCTAATAAAACTAGAGACGGTAGAAAATATTCAGTTATCTCAAGGTATTTTCGTTAACTATTCTTTTCTCTTACTTGGATTTTTTCTTATTTAAATTTTTTCCAACTGTTAACACGCTTTTAGAGAAAACATTAATAAACAAAAAGAGAAAGTTTACAAGATATTATTTGAAGTAAAGGTTAAAATAAAAAATTTTATTGATATATAATGTTCTTTACAGTTAGTTAAAATATAAAATTTATTTTTTATGGATAAATTTTTTTCTGAAAACAAAACGTAAATTTTTTTTCTAGAAGTTCTGTGGCAAATGATGAAAGGGCGTCATCAATTTCGTCGTCGCTTCAGCCTACAACCTTCAGCGCACTTGAAAGAAGAACAGGAGGATGGAACAACAAAAAATGTCAGGTAATGCGAGAGAGTTTTCTCTTGTAGCTATTGTCTGTCACTAATTTACTAATTTATAACTGTAAATGGTTAAGCAATCCTAAACTATAGTTAATTTCTATTGACAGCATTGACTAATTTTCAAAGATAATTAACATGCACAAAATCTTTTTCCAAGAATTATTATGAATCTATTTAGAGAATACGCGGAATTATCATGTTTATGTAATAAGAATTATTTAAATAAAGCAGGTTAATGTATTTTTCTGTAAGAAGAAAAGTTTCATTATATGAAAAATTAGTAATATTTTCATCTTTTCTTTTCAAAGAGCGACATCTTTTCTGAAAAAAGCGTTTTTTTAAAGCAACATGCAAATATATATGTGAAGTGTTCGACTTTTGATATTATATCTCCTCAGCAAATGTAAGATCTTTATACGAAACGATCGAGTGATAAATCGCAAACTAGAAAAATTGCTTTCAGCGTAAAATCTGTTCGAGTCGATACGCGCGAGTCTTTCTTTCTTTTTAAGTCCTCTCTATCTCATTGCCATCCGTTTCTTGCGACTAGCTCTCAAGTTTTAGCTCGAACATTCATTTCGTGGTGAATTCATGCGAAAAAAGAATCTTTCTGTGTATCCGTCATAATAATCACAATTGACTTCTTGTAATAAGCGTGGATGGTTACAAAGACAAGTATTATAGATACTTAAAGGTATCCGATGCTATCTGGTGCATGTAAAAACAACGGTATAGTCCCGTCGTTGTATAAGAGATATTGTAGTACTGATAATGTCACGAATTCAGGACACTCTATACAAAACATTAGGTATTCAATAACATACGCCTTTGAATTGCATAAATTCTTGGTGTTCATTAGTGTACACGTAGCATTCTCCTTCTCGGATGATTGTCTCTCTTAAACGGAATGTGATATCTCTTCATGTTCGTGGAAGAGATTGTATTTTCCCGTTTCCTGTTAATAACAAACTTTTCTTCACAACAATTTCTCCTGTATTTCATAATATCCCAGTAAACATCAATTAATAGTAATAAATAATATAACACATATGTGTTATATTTCATTTATATTGTCGAGTGGGAAATTATAACATTGATGTTATTAAGGATGCATCGGATCGTAAAATTACTGGACACTGGATACCGGATATCCGCACAGAATGCAACATCGGATATCCGAGAAAGCAATTTCTTCGAGTCGGATATCCGACATTTTCCTGATATCTGACCGAATTTCGGGAAACTGTCTTCTAAAAAAAAAAAGAATCAACAGAAGAAGGGCTGTAGAGAAAAAATTGTAATTTTGTAACAATAAGATATTAATATGGTATTATGAATATGCATACTCATTTCTAAAACATTTATATAATAACAAATCGCCAATTTAATGATATAAAATTTCAACCGGATATATTCCTGGATATTAATGATATCCGGCTATACGGTCGGATAATAAAAAAGTGCCGGATAATACCGGATACCGGATACTTTCCAAGTATCCGGTGCATCCCTAGATGTTATATTACTGTTAATTGATGTTTACTGGGATTATAACAGCAATATATCTGTTTAAAAAGATACATTTTAAATAATATAACGAGAAATGTTGACAATATAATCACTAAACTTATTATCCTGATTGTAATATCTCTTTTCTAAATTGAATTCCCTGAAATATCAAATAAAGTGTGAGTTAATAAAAACGATATATCTACTATTACAGAAATGAAAAACTAACGGAGTCGAACAGTAATAGTGGAAAGTCATCCGAAAGTTCGGTTCGGCACAAAATTGTGGTGATGGGCGCAGCAAAAGTCGGCAAGTCTGCAATCATCAATCAGTTCCTATACAATACTTTCACCCCAAAGTATAAACGGACTGTCGACGAGATGTATCAGGGGGATTTCGACGTTTCTGGAATTCATTTAATACTCGATATCCTCGATACGTCCGGCTGGTATGAATTTCCTGCGATGAGGGAACTGTATATTAAATCGGCTGACGCCTTTATTTTAGTTTACGACGTACATGATTTAAACACATTTCTCGAGATAAAAACACTCCGCGACCAGATACATAGCACGAAAGAAGCAGTTCCGATTGTGGTCGTCGGCAACAAAATCGATCTTATAGAGACAGAAAAAGAGGTGAGTTTCAATCGGATCAGACCGAAATTGTTATTTTAACCGGACCGAAACCGTAACCGGACTGAAAATTATTTTTCAGTTTTCGATTTGGTTTTCGGTTTCGGTCTGACTAAAATTCAAGTTTTTTAAATGTTGTTAAATGTTTTATAAGAATATTTTTATTTGGAAGAATTTAAAAATCCGTAGACGCTATTGATAGCTTAGACAGTGTTCAAAGCCCAAATGTACATGGCGATGCGATATTTCCGCGTCCCACTGCATTTTGTACTGAAAATTGAAAATAGAGTAATATATCTTTATTTTATAAGTCTATAGTTCTTTTAGTTCATACCATAGAGTATGACATAGAGTAAGAATAGATTGAGAATGTCCTCTACTTGGCAGTGAAAATCAGATAAGAAAGAAACATCCAGGATATCAAAAGGACTACGTACGATTTATATGAAAAAAATGTTTTCAATTAATTTTTGGTTGAATTTTTTATATATTGTAGTTCTTGCATCCCTAATGAAAAATCTCAAGACATTTCTATGTCTAGTTTCTGAATTAAAAATATTTGAAAGTCTCTTTTATGACTCTCTGTACATTTGCTTACACGAATTTGCATTTGTGTACCTATCTATTTATATAGTATATATATCGGTACGTATGAACGCCTGTGATAACTGCGCGCGCGCGTGTGTGTGTGTGTGTACAACGACATTCATATATGTACCGATATACATATGCAGTGTGACGTTACAGTTTCGTTGCAGCCTTACGCGACCCTTCGCCGTCACAAAGCTCGGATTCGCGCTTGACCCGAGCCAAGACACGCGAGCGAGCGAAATCTCGAAGGAGGCCGTGTATTAGCGTTAGATTATTTTTCTAATCCCCAGCGATTTTCTTTTATGTAAAAATTATGGGAGCCTCGCCGAGCGAAGAAGCAGCGAGGAGGAATCCCAGGCAGTAGTACCAGATTCTGACTTGCGCTACCACTTGGTAATGCGTAGCGAGGAAGAGGGGGTAGTTTCCGATAGCTGTAGCTATAGCTGTAGCTATCGGCAACTACCCCCATTCTTCCCCCACCACGCGCTACGCGTTGTTGGTAGTGCAAGCCAGAATCTGGCATTACTGATCCCAGGAGCTACCGCGGGTCGGAGACGGATGGAACGAAGTCGGCGAGCGCTTCCGGCCAGTGGAAGGAAGCGACGGCCACCGCCGCCCAGGGATTTAGCGGCGCCCAGGATAGTGCGAGGGACATATAAGAGCAGGAGAGGATGTCGAACACCACAGCAAGCCACCTAACGGCTGGCGATCCGTGGGAGTCGACGTGAGGGCGATGCATCCACGACATCGGCGCGGACGACAGGGGATGGCCAGCAGGGAAGGTCCGCCCGGAAAATCTTCGGGGCCACAAGGCGCCCCGTAGCATCTCGTCGCACACGTCTTTGCGTGCGAAGAGTCGTTAGCCCGCTAATTGATCGCGGCAACGCGCGACGCGGTTACGCACCCCCGTGGGGAGAGCTCGCGAATTGATCGCGCATCGGTTACAATTCTGCTCGTCCTTTTCCGTTTCGAGCCGCTTTACAGAGCAGACTTTCCGGCCCGGCGAATTTACTTTTTGGCGAGCGAGAGGCTCCGAGTTTAAGGATAACTGGAGGGCGAAGCTATCGGTAAGATTGCCCTTTCGGTTCATACAGTGTAAAGTCGCATGCAATGTCGCAGAGGGTCGCTCTCGCGTTCTGTCGTCAGCACGCGAATTTAGTATTGGTGCGGTGTCCGCCATTAGTGGTGCATTCTTGGTGTAACGAATACGGTATGGTCGGCGCCAAGCGTGAGAGGCTCTCGAACATGCG